TCAGTTTTTTCAAATCTGCATTGTATTCCTTTAGTGAATTCTGTGAATAGTGACATTTGGCACATTAGACTAGGACATGCCTCTCATGCAAAAATAAAGTTCTTACAGTCCTTGAATGTAAATATAGATGCTGGTAAAGACAGTGCTTGTGATTGTTGCCATTTGGCCAAACAGAAAAGACTTCCTTTCATTCCTAGCAATTCTTCTACTACTGATTGCTTCCATTTAGTGCATATGGATATTTGGGGACCTTACCATGTCAAAACATTGTCTGGACATCAATACTTTCTCACTATTGTGGATGATTTCAGTAGGGCAACTTGGGTTTATCTTATGAGGGGAAAAGATGAAGTAAAACAGCTTGTGCAGGGATTTTGTGCCTTAATTCATACTCAATTTGGAAAGGTAGTTAAATGCATTAGAACAGACAATGGAAAGGAATTTTTAATGCCAGAATACTATATGCAGATGGGCATAATACACCAGACCTCTTGTGTGTATACCCCTCAACAAAATGCTGTGGTTGAGAGAAAACATGGTCACATCTTGTCAGTAGCAAGAGCCCTCAAATTCCAAGCTAAGCTACCTGATGTTTTTTGGGGTGAGTGTATATTGCAGGCTGTGTATATCATCAACAGATTGCCATCAGCAGCCCTTGGCAACAAAATACCCTATGAGATCCTATTCAACAAAATGCCTCAGTATCAACACTTTAAGGTCTTTGGATGCCTTGCTTATGCCACAATACATGGAGGTCATAGAACAAAATTCTCACCTAGGGCAAGAAGGTGCATATTCATTGGGTATACCAATGGAACAAAAGGCTATAAGCTCTATGACATTCAAACTAGAGAAGTTTTTACTTCAAGGGATGTGATGTTCTATGAGAGTGTTTTTCCCTTCATGACTGATGAAGTAGCCAAAAAGGGATCAGATCAACCAATCTTACCTACTGAGCATGCTACTAATGCTGGTTATGAGCCTATTATCAGTCACAATGATCAAAGGGAATCAAGTCAGCTAGACAATATCAGTGGAGAGAATGAACATAATACTGAAATACTACCTCAACCTCAACTAGATGTGAGAAGATCAACCAGGCAAAGGAGTGTACCATCTTACCTGGCAGATTATGATCATCAAATTGGCAGATCTTCCCCACACAGTTTAGCCTCAGTTGTATCTCATACCAGATTGTCACCTTCTTATCAAGCTTTTGTGATGAACATCTCCTGCACCAAAGAACCAAAGACATACAATGAAGCCATAAAGCATGATTGTTGGAAGCAAGCTATGGCTGCTGAAATAGAAGCCTTGCAGACAAACAAAACATGGGAACTCACTAATCTGCCACCCACCAAACAGACTATTGGGTGCAAGTGGGTGTACAAGGTCAAATATAAATCTGATGGAAGCATAGAAAGGCATAAAGCTAGACTAGTAGCCAAAGGCTACACACAAACAGCTGGATTAGATTATCTTGACACATTCAGTCCAGTAGCAAAGGTCACAACCATCAGGACACTCTTAGCTGTTGCAGCTGCCAAGCAGTGGAACCTACATCAGTTAGATGTAAACAATGCATTCCTCCATGGAGATCTCTATGAAGAAGTTTATATGACCCTACCACCAGGGTTTGTTGCTCCAAAACAAGGAATGGTGTGTAGATTAAAAAAAATCCCTTTATGATTTGAAGCAAGCTAGCAGACAGTGGAATGCCAAACTTACTGCAGAGCTGGTTCAACTTGGCTTCAAACAAACAGTGGCAGATCCTTCTCTATTCATCAAAGGATCAGGTGACACCTTTATTTCCCTCTTAGTTTATGTTGATGATGTTGTACTAGCCAGTCCTGACAAGAGACAGATACAAGAAATCAAAGACCACCTTCACCGTGTCTTTAAGATCAAGGACTTGGGTCCTCTCAGATTTTTTTTGGGACTGGAAATTGCTAGGAGCAAGAAAGGAATTTCAGTCAACCAAAGGAAATATGCTTTGGAACTATTGGATAGCACTGGTTTCATACATAGCAAACCAGTCAAGTCTCTAATGATCCCTTCGACAAAATTAAGTAAAGACAGTGGCACCATCCTAGCTAACATCTCCCAATACAGAAGATTAGTGGGAAAAATGTTGTATCTCACAATTACTAGACCCGACATTAGCTTTGCAGCTCAACAACTTTCTCAATTTTTGGATTGCCCCACAGATATCCATATGCAAGCTGCACACAGAGTTCTAAGATATATCAAAAGTGCTCCTGCTCAAGGGTTGTTTTTTTCAGCAGCCAACCAACTCAACCTGAAGGGATTCTCTGACTCAGATTGGGCTGCATGCCCTGATACAAGACGTTCTGTTTCTGGTTTTTGTATGTTCCTAGGATCAGCCTTAATCTCCTGGAAATCCAAGAAACAACCAACTGTTTCTAGGTCCTCCTCAGAGGCAGAGTATAGAGCCATTGCTGCAGCATCTTGTGAAATACAATGGCTGAGTTATCTACTTGAGTCTCTAGAAGTAAAGCTTGAATCACCTGCTGTCCTATTTACTGATAGCAAGTCAGCTATGGCCATCGCTGAGAATCCGGTTTTCCACGAAAGAACAAAGCACATTGAGCTTGACTGCCATCTAGTTCGGGAAAAACTACAAAAAGGGGTTCTCAAACTGCTACATGTTCCTACTACTAGCCAACTTGCCGATGTCTTCACTAAACCACACATCCCAGCCACCTTTGATAGTTTCATATCCAAGCTTGGCCTACATAATATGTATGATCCAGCTTGCGGGAGGGTATCAGAAGATATTAACAAAGTTAGCTAGAGTTAGTTAAAATAGCAGTTAGTTTGTTCAGAAGGTTAGAAATCTTATCATTGCATATAAAAGCTTTTCTTTTCCCTCCTTTGTATTCGGTTAGACAAAACGATTCAGTAATACAGTTGCTATCTTCTTCTATCTTTCTTCTCTGCAAATCGTGAAACAGGCCGAAGGGAGCTGGAGGCATTGGGTTTCGCAGGCTGCATAACATGAATCTTGCTCTTCTCTGTAAGCAAGCATGGAGGCTTCTTATGAAGCCAAACTCATTCGTTGGGCAAATTTACAAGGCTCGTTACTATCCATCGGTGTCGTTTTTTGAGGCTCGTATGGGCAGTAACCCTTCACTTATTTGGAGAGGTATGATGGAAGTTCAACATATTTTGCAAGCAGGTTGTACACGTTGCATTGGTAACGGGCACACCACTATTGGTCGCGATCCTTGGCTACCGGATGAGCAAAACCCATATGTTTCCACGGTTTTGCATGACTCTATTGCCTTTGCGCCAGTATCGGCTCTTTTAGATATGCAGAATTCAGGATGGGACTATGATTGTTTACGGGATGTATTTGAGTATAGAGATATGCAGCTTATTCTTCAGATTCCGGTAAGTTTGAGGAGACCCTCTGATTGTTGGGTTTGGTCTGCCGATTCCAAAGGAAACTTCTCTGTCAAATCTTGTTATCGCAGAATTACTGGGGAATGGCATGACTCTCGGCCGTGGAATACTATATGGAAGATGCATGCTCCGCCTAAAATCAGGAGTTTCTGTTGGCAACTAGCTTCCGGCTGCCTCCCCATGCGAGACGCTTTATCGGCAAAGAGGGTGGACTGTTCTATACTATGTCCGTTATGCGATCATTAGAACAAAACTGCTATTCATCTGTTTTCATCGTGTGAACAAGCAGAAAACGTGTGGAGTTTGTTGGGGTTATCTATTCTTGCGGCAAATACTGGAAGTATCTCTGATTGGTTCTTCGATAATCTGAAGGCTTTAGCGAGTGATGATGTTAGCAAATTTTGTGTTGGTTGTTGGGGCCTGGGGGTTATGGCAGAGCAGGAATAACAAAATATGAAATGGGGTGGTCTTCAATGCCAGAGATACAATTCGTTCTGCTACATCTCTTCTTCAAAATTGGCGTTTGTCAAATGAACTCGATAGATCTGACACTATTAATGGCACTGTTGATGAAGGTTGGAAGAAGCCGATGTCCGGACGTCTAAAGCTTAACACTGATGCCGCATTTGGTAATGGTGATAATGGTGCTATGGGTATGGGGTGGGTACTACGCGATGAACACGGTTCTTTTATTGGAGCTAAAGGGACTGCGTATCACGGTGTGCTCGGTATTAAAGAGGCGGAAGCGTTCAGTATCCGAGAGGCTCTCAGTTGGCTTAAAGGATTGAATCATGGGAATGTGGATGTGGAGTCTGATTCACAACTTACTGTTAACGCTCTGTCTTTTGAATCCTTTAATTCGTCTTTTGGGTTTATTTTAGATGACATAAAGGTAATTGCATCTCAAATTACCGATGTAATTTTTAGTTTTGCTAAGCGATCTGCGAATCGTGCAGCCCATGCTTTTGCAAGGCATGTCGTTTCTATGTCAGATTGCGAGGAGTGGATTGGTTGCTCTCCTCCTTTTCTTGTTGATGTTCTATCAACCGATTCAATGAATTAAGTTGGTTCCTTTCAAAAAAAAAAAAAAAAAAAAAAAAAAAAAAAAAAAAAAAAAAAACAAAACAAAACAAAAAAACAAAATTTAGTATAAATTATAAAACTAAACATTATGTTTGGTTAAAATTGTAATTTGAGTAGGCCTGAAATATAATCACATTTAGTATATCTTACTAAATCTTTTAACACAAGATGTAATCAATTAAGAAATTGACATTTCCATTAAATTAAATAAAAGACGACAAATAATTTGGTTAATGAAAGAACTAGTAATTAAGAATTAATGGCGTATTTGGAATGACAACCCCTGCTACTACTGTTATGTAATCAAGAGATCAGATTGACATTTCCATTAAAATTAATGGACGACCAATATAAAATATGTGCAGAATGTAAAATTTAATAAATAAATAAATAAAACACATAGCACTACAAGAAAACATGAAAATATGAACAAAAAATTCGGTTAGTAAAACAGGTTAATTAGTTGATGGATCTATTGGGCAAGTTCCATCAATTATATATATACCTGCAACAATGAAGTTTAATAATAAACATATATGCATCTATCCGTCTTTCATTTCTGAAAAATAATGGAGCTCATCTATTATTTTCTCTTCCTCTTCTTCGTCTTCTTCTGCATATGCATATTATGGGCAAAATCAAAACCAGCAGCAAAGCAAAAGTTGCCCCCAGGTCCATGGAAATTACCCTTCCTCGGAAGCCTCCACCATTTAGCCGGCTCGCTTCCACACCGTTCTCTCAGAAATTTATCAAGAAAATATGGACCCATAATGCACTTGCAGCTGGGCGAGATCTCCGCCGTCGTCATATCGTCTCCTCAACTGGCGAGAGCGATAACTAAAACCCACGACCTCGTCTTCGCCAGCCGGCCAAAGATGATGGCGCTGGATATCGTGTTTTACGAATCCACAGACGTCGTGTTTTCGCCCTACGGAGATTACTGGAGGCAAATGCGCAAGATATGTGTGTTGGAGCTCTTGAGCACGAAGATGGTGAAATCCTTCTGTTCTCTCCGACAGGAAGAGCTCTCGAACCTCGTATCGTCGATAAGGTTGTCGTCGGAGACAGGGTTTCCGATCAACTTGACGGAAAAGGTGAGTTGGTTCACGAGCTCGGTTATTGCTAAGGTCGCGTTTCGGAGAGTGCGGTGTGAAGATCAAGAAAAGTTCATTGCCCTTATGAAACAAGTGGTCTCCTTGGCTGGGGGGTTTGATTTGGGCGATTTGTTCCCGTCCAAGAAGTGGATTCATTACATTAGTGGGATGAAACCCAAGCTGTTGAAGGTGTACTATGAGATGGATAAGATTTTTGATGTCATCATTGGAGAGCACAAAGAGAACCACCTAGCAAACAGAAATAATAGTAGTGGAAAAGATGAAGATATAGTTGATGTTTTACTAAGAGTGAAGGAAGGTGGGGAGCTTCAATTTCCCATCACAGAAGATAACATCAAAGCAGTCATCAATGTAAGTTTATTGTTCCAAATTAACTCCTTCAAATAATTCTTCTCATTTCATCAATTCCTCACTCGTCTCTCCTCACTTCATCCACTTCTTCACTACATTGTCTCACTTCATCGTCAATCTTAACATCAATTTCATTGATTTTTGTTATTGTATTTTTAAAACCTTTATATTGATTATAGGTTATACGTAACCAAACACCAATATTAAAATCTTTCAATTTCACACCTCTATTATGTCACTCTCATTTTTCTTCACAAATTTTATTTTATATTTTACTATTTTAGAAAGGGTTTTTCATATTTTCAAATAGAAAAAAAAATATTGGCTTGGATTAAAATCTCACAGAGGTTGGTTTTGTTTTATAAAATTATAGTTATCCATGGAAATGATAAATTTAAAAGTTAAGCACCAGAATTCAAAGTAACACAATAATCGTACAAAGTGTGAAACTCTATTATACGTGTAGATAAGTGTGTGACATTGTATATATTTTCATTCAAAATATAGGACATGTTCACTGCTGGGACTGACACATCTGCCACAACAATTATCTGGGCAATGTCTGAAATGATAAAGAGACCAAGTGTGATGGCTAAGGCACAAGCCGAGGTGAGACAAGCTTTAAAGGGAAAGAAAACCTTTGACGACAAAGATTTGGAAAACCTAACTTACTTAAAGCTTGTGATAAAAGAAACCCTCAGACTCCACCCTCCATTTCCACTTATACTCCCTAGAGAAAGCATGGAGGAAGCTAAGATTGGCGAGTACATTATACCACCTAAGACTAGAGTCATCATTAATGCTTGGGCTATAGCAACCAATCCTGAGAGTTGGGAAGATCCAGAAAGATTTCAGCCAGAGAGATTTGAAAACAGTTCTGTGGACTTCATGGGGAATCACTATGAGTTCATACCGTTTGGTGCGGGGAGAAGAATGTGTCCTGGAATTTCATTTGCTTATACTAACATTTCACATTCCTTGGCTGGTTTACTGTACAACTTCAACTGGGAACTCCCCGACGGAATTAGTCCTAAAGATTTAGACATGACTGAGGAAATTGGTGTCATTGCATCCAAGAAAATGGATCTTTGCTTGATTGCTAGGCCGTTTGTCGATCTTTGAGCCTTGAAATGATTATTGATTTAATTAAGTATTTATGTGTGCCGTGTGTGTTTTTTTCTTTTTGCAAATAATTCATGGTCTGGATGTTTAATAAGCTTATTTTATTATATTTTATAACGATTATAATATAATGATCTATTTTATTTTGAATAAATTTTGGTTTGCAAATTATAAAGCATATTTGAATTTATAATTCATAAACAAATTAGATTAGAACAATAATTCTGAGAAAATTTTTATTATTGAACTATCTGATTTACAATAATGTACACGAAGAAATGTACTCCATATTTATAATAATACAAATAGTACAGTCCAAGTCATATGAGGAATGATAAAATGTATATTCACAATAACATTGGGTAAGGGAGAAGGAATTTTAGTGTGACTAATACATAGTCTTAATACACCCTCTCAAGCTTAAGGTTCTTTAGAGAGAACATTGAGCGTGTCCCTTAGATCATTGTACCTTGTTGTGGTTAGTGGCTTGGTGGAGATGTCTACCAGTTGGTCTTTTGTAGAGATGTAGTTACTTGTAGTTCCTTTGGTGCTAATTTGTCATAAACAAAATGGTAATCTATTTCAACATGTTTAGTTCTTGCATGAAACATAGGATTTGCACACAAATAGGTAGCATCAAGGTTGTGAGTTGTGACACCAAAGTCTTGGTGATTTTTGCATAGTAAGACCAAGTTATTTAATTAAAGAATATGAAGTAACCATGTTACCTTTGTTGAGACATTAGCTATAGCTTTGTATTATGCATTTGTTTAGAACCTAGCAGTTGTCATTTGCTTGCGGCAAGCTCAGAAAATTAGATTTTTACCAATAAATACAGCAAAATCACTAGAGGGCTTGTGGTCATTAGGACATCCTGCCCAATCAGAGTTCGAAAATGCATGAATATCGTTGGAGTAGTGAGCATGATTTCAAAAGAAGTAGCCCATATTCTATAGTAGCTTTAACATACCTTAGAACACGCCTTAGGGCAACCCAGTGGTCATTGGTTAGAGATTTCATAAAATGAGAGAATATTTTTACGAAAAAATGAGAGATCGATCTAGACGTGTGATGGTTCGATATTGAAGTGTTCCAACAAAGTTGCGGTATTGTGTGGGATTGTCATATGGCTGTGATGAGTAAGGATAGGAATAGGTCATGCTCTTTTGTAGGGGCCTATGACCTGGCCTAATTAATGCCAAGTTAAGCCTAGCTTGTTTAGTAAAAAGGTCAGGTTTTAGCCCATTTCAAAGCCTATTAAACTAAACAGCTTGTCGTCTCTGAATGAGATGGTAACCGGAGGTCGCCTTCTCTTAGTGAGAAGGCGACTAGTTGGTCACATTCCATGGAGAAGGCAACCACGAGTCGCCTTCTCATACAGACAAGGCGACCAACTGCTCACCTTTCGCCGTTGTTGGCGACCGGCGACGGTTCGGCCGTTGCCGGTTGCCGGAATTTCGTCGGAATACAGAAATGATCTATAATAGCAGGTTATTTATCGGTTGTTGGGTTTCATTGACTCAATTTAATTAACATGTTAAATGGTGTAATTGTACTTTTTTAAATTTTAGGGACCTAAGCTAATTGACTTAGGTAAAGTTTAGGGACTTATTTGACATTTTTCCCTAATAAGTATTAATATTTTGTTCAATACTTTCACATGATAATCAACGACACACATCTCCCAACACATGAAACATGTAGGGGAAAAAACTGCCACTGCCAAATATCAACAGGTGCTTGCAAGATAAGAGTTCATAGTACAATTAAGATCACAATCATATATAGAGCAAGACAAATCTAAAACTTCGTACACCATAATCTCATTGCATGATGTTGCCCTCCATATATGCTACCACTAGTAACCCAAATGCACATAACACACTACCAATAAAAAAGAAGATGACATGTACTAAAGATGAAGACAATGACAATGCTACCCAAAAGAGAATTAAGAAGACTTAGAGAAATTTAAACCAAAAGTAGTATTTATTTAGAGTATCGTTTTTAGACTAGCGTTATTACAAACTTGCAAGAATTTATTTCAGTGACAATTATAATCAATCTCTCATATATTATCTTGCATTCATATACTTTGAATTATTGATTTAAATAAAACAAATTCAACATTCAATTATATATACATGAACATCTCATATATATAATCTTGCATTAATATACTTTGAAGTACTTCTAAAATAATCATTAGGCATTATCACATTCGCGCAATGCGCGTGAAAAACTAGTTAATAGAAAAAAAGGATAAGAATGTATGTATCAAATGGTTATTGGATTTTTCGAATATTACAAAAGAGATGTTGGAATAAGAAAATAGTGTGTCTTGAACAAGACAATGATTCCACTGTTTAAATTAACTCTTCTAAAAACTTCCCTACAAGTAGAACTCCTGCAAGACTTGGATTTTGCCTAACTGGCACGTCGAATGACATCGAAGGCTAGCCTTAAAAGCTGATCGCACCCAATGCCAAGCCTGAGGTCAGGAACCTGGCCTCCAATCCTCCCCTATAGTTATTGTGTTCACCGTGGTCCACACAGCTATGTGGACCACAATAAAAAACGACGTCGTTTTACTTAATTTTATTTTTCTTGTGCCCAGCAACAACATACATTTTTATAACTCATAATGTACATTATTCTAAAATATAATGTACATTATTCGAAAGCATAACATACATTATTTTAAAACAGAATATTACATTATATTACCGTAGATGTTTCATTATGCTAATCCGTAATGTACAATATTTTGACACATAATGTACATTATTCTATCATGTAATGTACATTATTTTAACACATAATGTACATTACTCTAACACATAATGTACACTATTCTAACACATAATGTACATTATATTTTACTCATAATATTCACGACGATATTTTGAACTGTGTTCCACACAGCTGTGATAATTTGCCAATCCTCCTTGGAACCTCCCCAATCATTATTGTGTGGACCAAATTTTGTCTACTGTAAAATAATGTACATTCAGTACAAATATAATGTACATTGAATACAAAAATAATGTACATTGTATTCAGGGGATGTACATTATTTTTATTTTGAGTGTACATTATATTATATAATGTACATTCAGTACAAAAATAATGTACATTTAATATATTAAAATGTACTTTTTATTATGGTGCATATAACATTGTGTGGACTATAATTTGCCAAACCTCCCCACTTGGGCTTTATTCTATTGGGTATGCCCAATATATCCATCAACCTGTTTTACTAACCGAATCTTTTTTTCATATTTTCATGTTTTCTTGTAGTGTTATGTTTTTATTTTCTGATTCAATTTTACATTCTGAACATATTTTATACTGTTTTGTAGTAGTACTCCATTCATTCTTACTAGTTCTTCATTAACCCTTTTTTTTTTTTTAATACAGTTGTTCATTAACCTAATTGTTGGCCGTCCTTTAATTTAAAAGGAAATGTCAATTCTCTCTTGATTACATAACATTAGTAGCAGGGTTTATCATTCCAAATACGCCATTCATTCTTACTAGTTCGTTCATTAACCAAATTATTGGTCGTCTTTTAACTTAAATGGAAATGTCAGTTTCTTGATTACATATTGTGTTAAAAGATTTAGTAAGATTACTAAGATATACTAAATGTGATTATATTTCAGGCCTACTCAAATTACAATTTTAACCAAACATAATGTTTTGTTTTATTTTATAATTTATACTAGATTTTATTTTATATAAGTTGAAATTTTTTGTCATTCCTTAATCGTGGTTAAACACAGTTGCAAATCGATCTCTCAATTTTCAACCACTTAATTACAAGAGATTAAAAAAAAAAATAAAAATTAAGAGATTTGTGTTTGAAAAACGCCATTTCTTACCATCTTTAATTTTAATCACTTTTAATTTGAGATAGTCAATAGCATTCAAAAAAAAATTAAAAAAAAAAATTGAGATATGAAAAATTGACATTCAATATTAACGACTACTTTTTTTTATAGTAATTTGTTTTTTAAGATAAACCTAATAATTTTTAACTTAAATTTCATTCCAGATCTAGTGAATACCCAATCTATTGCAAAATAGAATAGATTATGTAATCTATATGTTGGGTAATAATGAAAATCCCAAAAATAATAACCCTACGGAAAAATTATTATTATATAGGAAAACAGGAAAAAATGAAAAGAAAAAGGTGGATAATTTGGATAGTGGTTAGCACGAGTTTGACAAATTGTTCTTTTTCTTAAAAGCGTTACGTTGTAGCCTAGGTTTTGCTACCTCCCACAAGTGATAGAGAGCAAAACCACAACGAGTTCTAAACCATTAGCAACTTTTAGTTGCACCTGATCCTCTTGCACAGCATAGAGAGCATCTCTCGCCATACAATTCAATAAGTTTAAAAAGAGCTTTTGTATAAATAGTGGGACAAATCCACTTCGAAAATCAATGTGGGACAAAAACTTCACTTTTCCAACTCAAATAGGTATACTTTGAGAATTAATATCTCATTCACCCATTATCTGTTTTGAGCGTACAATATATCAATCTCTTCGTCTCACTACGAAGAATACGAATCCACTTTGACCCAACTCAAATCGGAAGTGGACCCCACTGATAATTGTACCACAAAATAGTCACTTAATATGTCATTTTAAGCTATTTTTTCCAACACTATATAAATAAATAAACTTTATTAAACATTCACATAATCTAGACCATGTATTATTTGCAAAAAGAAATAATAAAAAGAAACAAACACAAACAGCTCACACATACACAAATTAATGCTTATCCATAACCAATAACTATTTCAAGGCTCAAAGATGAAAGGCTGAGCAATCAAGCAAAGATCTTCTTTTTTGGCCACAGCTATACCCATTCCCTCATTCATATCCAAATCATTAGGACTAACTCCACTCGGGATTTCCCAATCAAAGTGGTACAATAAAGCAGCCAATGAATGGGCAATGCTAGCCAAAGAAAATGAAATTCCAGGACACATTCTTCTTCCTGAACCGAAAGGTATAAACTCATAGTGATTTCCCATGAATTCCACAGAACTATTCTCGAATCTTTCGGGCAGAAATCTTTCTGGATCTTTCCAATACTTAGGATCGGTCGCAATAGCCCAAGCATTAATAAAGACTCTAGTCTTGGGAGGTATAATGTAGTTATCAATCTGTGTTTCTTGCATGCTTTCTCTTGGGGCTAAAAGCGGAATTGGAGCGTGGAGTCGAAGGGTTTCTTTAATCACAAAGTTTAGGTAAGTTAAATTTTCCAATTCTTTATTGTCAAATGTTTTCTTTCCCTTTAGGACTTCTCTCACCTCGGCATGTGCCTTGGACATCACACTTGGATTTTTCATCATTTCGGACATTGCCCAGATAAGTGTTGTGGCAGATGATTCAACCCCAGCAGAGAACATGTCCTACATTTTAATTGATAATATTATAATTTTATTTGGGGAAGAAAATGAATGTTAAAAACTATATATAGCGCAATTTTTTAATCAATTAGGGCATTCGAATTTAGAAGTAAAAAAATAAGTATACGAAAGTAATATTCCATTTGCTTTCACTTTTAACATAAAAATGAAAGTTTATGTAATAAATATTACTTTAGTAGTACATGTGTGTTGAGCAGAATATATATTAAGAAATGAAAACTAATCTTTCTAGAATGTCCGGATTTATCTCATCCATCAATAATCTAACATAATTAAGGGATGAAAATTAAGAAAAAATGCAACAATGACATTCCTGTAATTAGTTGATTGTGCATTTGAAAAACCTTTACAATGCATTTGGAAAAAAATTTTACTAAATACATTATTAGTTATTTGTGAATACACTGCTAAACATTTTCAAATGTAAAATCATAATTACATAAATGTCTTAAATTTTAACCATTAATTATCTTAGATGAACATATATAAGATTATATTAATTCGCTTGTTTTCACGGAAGCCTAATTCTCAACGGAGGTTTACCATATCTTACAATTATGGGATGTTAATAAAAGTAATGTGAGAGTCTTAATGTTGAGCATATATAATATACTGATCTTTTCTATGCGCGATGCGCCAAAATATATGCTCAATATTTATATATTTTTAAAATAATTAACAAATTGCTACTTCCAAGCACCTTGTGAGAGATATAACTTGATTGAGACTTATTATCTTTTTAGATAAACATAAATAATGTGCAATCCAATTATGAGTTTAATAGAACGTATGCATCAATTATTATTGAACTTACATTTATGACTGCTTTAATGTTATCTCGTGTGATAGGAATTTGGAGCTCTCCACCCTCCATCACTCTTAGTAAAACATCAACTATGTCTTCTTCATGATCTTTCGCCTTGTTGTTGTTGCGGTTTGCCATGTTGTCTTTATGTTCTTCAATGATGAGTTCAAAAATTTTATCTACCTCACGATGAACCTTCAACAATCTGGGTTTGGTCCCACTAACGTAATGAATCCATTTCTTGGACGGAAACAAATCGGCGACGCCAAATCCCCCGGCTAAGGACAGCGCTTCTTTCACGAGAACAATGAACCTCTCTTGATCCTCACGCCGCACTCTCCCAAACGCGGCCTTAGCAATCGTCGAGCTCGTGAACCAACATATCTTCTCCGTCAAGTTGATCGGAGCCGACCCAGATGCCTTAATCGACGATATAAGCTCTGAAAGTTCTTCTTGTCTAAAGGAATTAAATGATTTCACCATTTTTGTGCTCAAAAGCTCCAACACGCATATCTTTCTCATCTGCCTCCAGTAATCTCCGTAGGGCGAAAACGCGACGTCTGTGCACTTGTAATAGACAACGTCGAACGACATCATCTTTGGCCGGTTGGCGAAGACGAGGTCGTGGGTTTTGGTTATCGCTTTTGCCAGTTGAGGAGAGGATATGACGATGGCGGAGATTTCGCCCAGCTGCAAGTGCATTATGGGTCCATATTTTCTTGATAAATTTCTGAGAGTACGATGTGGAAGCGAACCGCCGACTAAATGGTGGAGGCTTCCGATGAGGGGTAATTTCCATGGACCGGGCGGCAATTTTTGCCTTCTTGCAGGGTTTGATCTTCTCCGTAATGTGTATATGCAGAACACGAAGGAGAGAAACACAATGACCGAAACTGGGTTGAATAGAAACTTGTGTTCCATTTCAGAAACGAAAGAAGAACCAACAAGTCTACTTTTTTTTTTACGTGTGTTCCGTAACTTCAGTTTTGCAGATATATATAAGATTATTGGCAAAAACTTCTTATTTTAATTTGGAACGCTACCTACTGTCTCCACTGAGGCTTGAACTCATAACCTTCTAAATAAAAGTCCAACCCAAATACCATTAGACCACATAGTCCTAGTGTTAAATTTTAATATGTAAACAAACTAATTTA